GAGACCTATGGCCGAGAAGCAAGTACACTAGGCGATTCGTACACGATGGCGCGGTATCACGCTCTTGGAGCCAGTCGAAGAGCTTCGAGTGTACGTAGTATTGCCTTGCATCCAAGCAAAGGAGAGCAAACACATATATCAAGAGAACTGTATTTTTCATCAGCACCGGTTCTAAAGCTGCTGCAAAATGACGTGCAGCTGGTACATGTACAACCGCCTTGACAAAACTAGCTGTGACACCAAGAGGTCCTTCGCGTTGGAGCGCACGCGGGCGTTGGCAGCGTTCAAGCCGGCGTGCATGGCCACGTCGCAGATAATGTCCGACTTGTCCGAGATACCAGCGACAATCATCGGGAGCGCCTTGCCAAGGTACTTGTAGAAATTGGATGACGGCGCACCCAGAGAACACCTTCGGGGTCAATGAGCGATGTGTGCGCGAACGCTGTGGTGCATGACGTCAACGCCAGACGAGAGACAACGCGCATGGCAGCTCGCGCACGAGCATCGCTGTAAGGTCCGAGCGCAAAGACACGCCACGCAAGTGTCTCTGGGCGACCACCGGAGCCTCCGACACCAACGACTCGTTACCTGTATATGTGAATATGGATAGCTAGAGGTCGCGAGTATAAACAAGAAGAATACATATCGAGATTTACCTCACCACAAGCAGGGCTCTACATTTGGTAGCACCTGGTTTGAGGCGGAAGTAGAAGGAGTGGCAAGTCAGGTACGCGTCGTAGTACCGGTGTCGCCTCGCAAGAGCTTCTCTTCCCTTTCCCTCAGTTTTGATCCAGAGAGCGGGAGGCCTACGGGACCTACTGCTTGCTGACGGATTTATCTCGCATATCGGGAAGAGTTCACCGGATAACGCGGCGCGCGTTTGATCTCATCCGTAATGGCGGCTGCCGACTTACAGCACTTGCTGGCCCAGCTGACCCAGGCCATGCACCTCCAACAACAAGCCATCAATGCGCTGGCGACGGCTCAAGCCGAGCACACGACTGCTCAAGCCGCGATCGTCCAGCAACTCGCCAACTCAGAGGCGTCGCGTACGGCGACGGAGACAGCGGCGGCCCAACGAGCCGCAGACGCGGCGGCCCGGGCGGCCGTACCGGCACCGATGCGCGTCGAAGGACTGCGCCTGCCGGAGTACCGCGGCGAGCTGGACGAGAGCGTCAGCTTGTACATACACCGCGTCACCACGTTCTTCCAAGCCAAGAACATCACGCCGACACTCGACGCCGAGACAGAGGCACGGTGCTTGGCGATGATGCACGCCAACTTACAAGGCAACGCGGCGACGTGGCTTCTCGAACGAGCATCGACGGGCACGGTGCCGACGACGCTGCGCGAGTTTGAGCTGGCGTTACGCGCCGAGTTTGAGCCGCCCGACCTCCAAGAACGGCTCCGCGACCAGCTCTACAACAACACACAGACGTCGTGCGGGGGGCTCCTCGCGTACATTAGCATGTACCGCGGCATCGTCAGCCAAGTCACGGACATGTCCGAGCTCGATAAGATTACGCATTTCATGCGCGGGCTCGACGTACGGACGCGAGAGGCAGTGCAGTACCGCCGCCCAGGCTCCACGACGGGTGCCATTCAATGCGCGCTTGAGTTTGAACGCGCGCACAGTATCTCGCTCGGCCAGGCCCGGGCGCTGCCACCGCCGGTTCCGCAAGTCGCTCTGCAGCCGGTCGCCACGATACCGACGGCGCCGCAGCGCGACCCGTATGATATGGAGGTCGACTACGCGGACGCGCGCGGGGGCAACCGGCCGGAGCGCCGCCGGTGTTTCAACTGCAACCGCATGGGCCACATTTCGCGGGACTGTCGCACGCCGCGCCGCCCGCCAAGCGGCCAAGGGGCCGTGGCGGCGGCCGTGGGGAGCAGCGCACGCAAGCCCACGTCCACGTCGTTCCAGTCTCGCGGGCGGCCGCGGACGAGGACGAGGAGATCACGGTGTACGGTATCAACGTGGCCCAGCGAGCCCAGACCGACGTCGCGCCAGCTCACCGCTTGGTCATCAAGCGCGGGACGGTCAATGGCAAGGCCGTGCGCATTCTCATCGACTCGGGTGCGACCGACAACTTGATCCGGCCCGAGTTTGCCACGGCCGACGTACTCGGTACCAAGCGGGTCAAGATGGTCGGCTTCGATGGCTACGAGCGCGCGCCCACGGAGGTCCAGGACTGCAAGGGTCTCGTCGCGTTCGAGGACTCGGCGCTGGGCAGCTTCCCAGCGGTGTTCTCGACGTGGGACTTGGGCGACAAGAGCTTTGATGTGATCCTGGGCAAGCCATGGTTTTATGACTACAACCCCGTCCTCGACTGGCGCACGCACCGGCTCGTGTCGGTGTGCCCGCGGCCCGACATGCCGCGCGACTTGCAGACGCCAGAGGCCATGGCGGCGGCCTACGTGCTCAAGATATCACCAGTGCCCGAGCAGACGCAGATGCCCGAGGTACTCGCCCAGGTCGTCGCCGACTTTGCCGACGTCTTGCCGGCCGAGCTCCCCAACGAGCTCCCGCCCAGCCGGGTCGTCGACTTTGCGATGAAGATGCGCCGCGACGCGCGTCCACGGGCGACGTCAGGGATGCGCATGGCACTGGTCGAGCAAGAAGCGTGTGACGACTTCGTCGAAGGGCTCTTAGCAAAGGGCTGGATCCAGCTCTCGACCAGCGAGTGGGCGTCCATGATGTTCGGCGTGCCCAAGCATGATGACGACGGCAACACGATATCTCGGCGGGAATGGCTGCGCGGACTACACCCGGCCGCCAGCGTGCGGTGGGTTCTCGACTACCGCCACGTCAATTCGCAGACGGAAGTGCCCAACATCCCACTACCCAACATCGAGGACCTCTTCCGGCGCATGCGGGGCTGCCGTATTTTCACGAAGATGGACCTCGCCTCGGGGTACCACCAGATGCTCGTCGTGCCGGCCACCCGCAAGTACACGGCGTTCCGAACGCACCGAGAAACCTACGAGTGGTGTGTCGCGCCGATGGGGCTGGCGGGGATGCCCGGCACGTGGTCGCGGCTCATGCGGGCGCTCTTTGACCGCTTTCCGTTTGTGGTGGTTTACATGGACGACATCTGCATTTTCTCGGAGACGATGGACCAACATGTCGCACATGTCCGCGCGGTGCTTGAAGTGCTACGCGCCGAAAAGCTCTACGCACGGCCGTCCAAGTGCGTCTTTGGGGCGACCGAGGTCACGTTCCTCGGGCACAAAATCTCGGCCAGCGGCCTGCACGTGGACGACTCCAAGATTCGAGCAATTGAGACGTGGCCCGAGCCCGAAACGACGAAGGACCTCATCCGCTTTTTGGGCCTCTGCGGGTACTACCGGAAGTTCATCGCTCGCTTTGCAGACCTTGTCCTGCCTTTGAGCGAGCTGGTGAAGCCGGCGGCCCCGTGGGTATGGACCCGCGAGCATGCAGTGGCCTTCAAGCGCATCAAAGTGGCCTTACAACAGGCCCCGGTCCTCCTCTTGCCCGACCCGCGCCGGCCGTTTGTAGTGTCGACCGACGCGTCGGGCTACTGTTGCGGCGCCGTGCTGTCGCAGCTCGACGCCGCAGGGGATGACCGCGCAGTGGCGTACCTATCGAAGAAGTTTGGCGTTCACGAAGTCGGCTGGCCGGCGCACGAGAAGGAGCTGTTTGCGATCAAGATGGCCCTCGAGAAGTGGCGTCATTACCTGTACGGGCAACAGTTCGACGTCTATACCGACAACAAGGCGTGCCAATGGTTCCTTGAGACGCCGGTGCTCTCGGCCAAGATGACGCGCTGGCTGGACTTTTTCAGCCGCTTCCGGTTCACGCTCCACTACCGGAAGGGTGAGGACAACGTGGTCGCGGACGCCTTGTCCCGGCCACCGCAGCGGCGGGCCCAGCCCGTGGTTCATGAATGCACGGCGGCATGCGCTCACGTTTTCGCGGTGCACGATGCATTGGACCGGACGGCCGGCATCCGAGGGTGGGCGGTGCCCACACTGGATGGCTTGCTCGGCGTGGCGCAGCCCGTGTCGCGCGCTCCGTCCACGGTGCCGGTGCCACACCAAGTCACGGTCAACCACGTGGAAGAAGTCCAGTTCAGCTCGGTGGCGATGAGTCCGCAGCTCCGTGACAAGCTGGTAGCGGCATACAAGAAGGACAAGGAGTACCAGGACGAGACCAAGTTTCGACGCCACAAGGACCTCGTGTTTGTGCGATCAGTCAACCAAATTTGGCGGCTGTGTGTCCCAGCCTCCGACGAGCTGCGTGTTTTTTCATCGCGCAAGCTCACGATGCCCCCGGGGCGGCGCATCCTGGCTCGCGGCGGACATACCTGCTGGTGTCGCAATGGTACTACTGGCGCAACCTCAAGGCTGACGTCGAGCTCTACGTGGCCACGTGCGAGACGTGCAGCCGCTACAAGTCCAACACGCGGCGAGCCAACGGCACCATGATGCCGATCGGAGCGCCGTCCGAGTGCTGGCACACGGTGTCGATCGATTGGATTACGGGCTTACCGGTGTCGAATGGCTACGACGCGATCATGACGGTGGTGGACAAGCTGTCGAAGCGGCCCAAGTACATTGCGACCCACACGACGGCGACGGCCCCGGCTACGGCCATCATCTTTTTCGACCAAGTGGTGCGCCACCATGGGTTGCCCGCGGCCATCATCAGTGATCGGGACCCGAAGTTTACGAGCGCGTTTTGGCAAGAGCTGATGAAAATCCTCGGCATTCAGCAGTGCATGACCACGGCCGGCCGCGCGCAAGCCGACGGCGCCACGGAGCGCCAGAATCGCACGCTCGAAGACTCGCTTCGCTGTGTGGCGTCGTATCTCGGCACCGACTGGGCGGCGCACTTGGCCACGGTGGAGTATGCTCACCAGGCGCTCGTGCAGACCTCCACGGGGGTGTCACCGTTCGAGCTGGACACCGGCCGCGTGCTGCGCAACCCGCTGGTCGCCTTCGAAACGCCCAACGCCATGGTCGCCAACATGGCCCAACATCGCCAAGAGCTGATCAAAAGAGCCCAGGCCAGCCTGGCAGCGGCCCAAGCGCGCCAGAAGAAGTACTACGACGCCAAGCGGTCGGACGTCAAGTTTGCGGCGGGTGAGTGGGTCTTGCTGGCAACGCGGGACATTCCGCTCAAGCATGCGCAGCTGGCGGACCGCAAGGAGAAGGCGAAGCTGGTACCACGCTTCATCGGACCGTTCCAGATCAAGGACATGATCAACGACAACGCGGCGCGCCTCGACCTTCCAGCCAACATGAAGGCCATTCACAATGTGTTCAACGTCGACCGCCTCAAGCACCACGAGGTGAACCCAGAGCAGTTTGCAGCGCGTCCGATTCCCAAGGCAACACCCGTCATCTTGGACGGGACAGACGAGCTGTACATTGTCGAAGCGCTGCTCGCGCGTCGCCAAGTCAACAATAAGCCAGAGTACTTGGTCAAGTGGCACGGCTTACCCGATCATGAGTCATCGTG